CTCGGTTTAGGAGTACCTTTATTATGCACATCATTTGTCGTTTTACATGTGAACACAAAAAAACAATCAATCCCCTATAACTTATGTTCTTTAGTCGTTCAGCCAAACTCCAAAAACCGCCCCCATTTTCCTTCTTCCCCTCTTTTCTCCTCCCCCCCCTTTTCGTGGCCCGTTGTTGTATGGTTGTATGCCTTTAGTGATGATTGATGGCGTTGAGTTTGGCTGACGACAAGACATAAGTTAGGGGATTATTGTCAGTGTAAACGACAAATGATGGTGCATAATAAAGGTACTCCCTAAACCGCTCGCAGATTGCCCACTTTAGTGCTAAAAATTCCAGTTTGCCTGAATGCAGATGATAGTTCTTCTCAGGAGGAGTCAATGTCCTAGATCCATAGCCGATAACTGCCAGTTTACCTTGCTGTCGTTGATAGAGTACTGCCCCAAGACCTTTTTGAGATGCATCACAGTGTAGCACAAATGGTTTCTCAAAATCAGGGTAGCCTAATATTGGTGGGTGCAGTAGGTGGTCTATGAGTTCACCAAGCACGTTCTGATGCTCCTCAGTCCAGATGATGGGTTGACTTGAGGGCAACTGATTGGTCTTGTTTTGTTTCCTACCAGTTTTTTAGCTGTGGATTTGAAAATGGAGGTCTTTGGTGTGCCCTCAGCTGACAGCAAACTGTACAATGGCCTAGCGATTCGGGAGAAGTTCTGAATATAGGGCCGATAATACGAGATGAACCCTAAGATCCTTCTCAGTTCTCCAACACTGGTTGGTTTTCTGTCTTTGAGAGCTTGTACAGGTGCCAACTCTTTCGGATCCATTGTATAGCCATCTTTGGATACAATCTTCCCCAAAAATTTCACTTTTTTTTTGAAAACCTCACACTTTTTTGGAGTTAGTTTAACACCATGCCGCTGATATCGGCGCAGTACTGCCCTCAAGTCTTGCAGATGTTCATCAAACGTTTTACTGTGTACCAGATTATCATCCAAATATGGCTGGCATGTCTCGTCTCTCAAACCTGTTAGACACTCCTCCATGCTGCGCTGGAACTCTGCAGGGGCTGAGGAGAGGCCAAAGGGAATCCTGACCCACTCATACAGGCCCCACGGTGTTATGAAGGCGGTGAGTGGTCTGCTCGCTTCCTCCAGGAACCCCTGGTGGTAGGCCTTTCCCTGGTCTAGTACCGAAAACCAGGCACTTCCACACAAGCTGTTAAGGATGTCTTGCACACGGGGAATGGGGTGTCTATCTGGTATGGACTTCAGGTTTAGTTCTCTATAATCCACACACAGACGCAACGTTCCATCCTTTTTGCGAACACAGACAAGTGGCGAGGAATAAGGAGAGCGAGAGTTTTGTATCCATCCTCTATTCAGAAGATCCTCTAGATATTCCTTCACCTCCTTGTGGAGTGGTTTGGGTACTGAGGTGTATGTGCGCCTTACAGGAGTGGTATCTTTAAGCCTGATCTTCAACTTTAGTGATGGGATGCAGCCAACATCTTGGTCCCCTTTAGAAAAAGCATGACACTCCTCTCTCAATACTGCACGTACCTTGCCCTGTTGTTCTGGTGTCAAATGGTCAAGAGCCACAGGTGGATCCCACCGTTCCTCTTTTATGTCTTGAATTGAGTTTGCACTGTCCTTCTGACTTTCAGCACTGGTGTAGCGAGCATTGTTACCCTGTTCCGACTGCAGAGGCTGTGCGTTCGCTGGATAGATAGTTTTGACTTGTTGGAGCTGTCCTAACACAGTACGTGCTGTTAAAATAATGCTACGACTGCTTTCATTAGTGACTGGGACAGAAACTTTAGACCAGCCTCCCTTATGCAGACTGATTACCACCTCTGATAGAGTCAGTCCATCCGGCCACTTTGAGCTATCTACAGGTTCAAACAAGGCATCTTGTTCTGCTGCACTGGAATATCTCCGTACACGGCACTTCACCAGCTGAGTTTCACCTGGCGGGATAGTTATTCTTGGTTGTCCCACTCTCACTACTCCCTCCCTCATGTCATCATAATTTTTCTTTACCAGCTGAATAAATATTTCAGTCTTTGTACAATCAAGTGAGAATGCTTCCTGCACAGCGGCTGAGGTGAACTCTGGATACTGCTCCATCCCATTTTTGACTAACTGCTCAATGATGTTATAGCCGATAATAGGTGGGTCCGCTACATCTGGCTCATTTGAGATCAACACTGGAGCTAAAAGTTCTTGTGCACCTTTGTTTGATGTGTTGAGTTTAAACTTTAACTCCACCCAACCTGAGAAGGGGATGACAGTTTGGTTTGCTGCCTTACCCACAAGTGTCTCATCTTCCTCCAGAAGCTCTTGCAGGCTACGGGTTTCAATATTTGGGAGGTATGTACTACGCCAGCTCTCATTGATGATGGTTACCTGCGAACCAGTGTCCCATAATGCTTTTGTAGGTACTCCCTCAAAACAGCAGTCCACTAGGCATTTCTTGCCTATGAGAGCGTGCAGCTTGGCGTGACGGCGTGAGGACATTGGATTGGTGTAAGTGGCACTCACCCCTTGATGTGTCTTGTTATTGTTTTCAAGCTGAGCTTCAAGCTGTCTAATTCTTTCTAATAAAAGTTCTTGCATTTTACTTTCAGCTTCAGGTGACTTTTTCAATGGCAGGGATGATGGCGCCACCTTGTGGGGTTTGACATTTACTGTTCCCTGGCCTGTGGGCTACACCCCGAGTCCCTCTGCATCCCCGTGAAAAGTGTCCTGATAATCCACACTTGAAACAGTGTTCACATTGGTTGCCTTGACCACCTTCTTCACATGCAGTGCATGCTCTACGTTGAGGGCGCTTTAGACTTGGAGCCGGGAGTCGCTGATGGCCCTGCAGATTTTTCCTAATGTCCGCCATTTCCTCTCTAAGTAGGTGCACTGTTTCATACAACTCAGCATCTCGAGAGCTGGGAGGTGCTGGAGCTTTACGGGTCTTTGGTCTGACAGTTTCAGTTGGATCCTGTGCTCCCGCTCTCATTTCTGAAACTGTTTTACTTTGAGTCTGTTGTGCCTGTGCCTCTGTCTGTAGCTCGCTTACTTTTGGAGCTCTGCCTACAGCATTCTTGCGCAGTTTGGACTGGCGTTCTGACTCTACACTAGCTGCTTCATTCAGTTTATCAATGAGAATCTCATCAGTCACTGCAATATCATCTAAATAGGGCTTTAGCTGAAACTTGATGTGATCACTGATAAGTCCTGTGCTGACTGATCTCAAGAACTTCCTTTGAATGACTTCTGGGCTGTACTGATCATCTGAGCCTGATTCCTTGGAGGCGAGGAGAAGTCTCTCTTTAAGTTCTATTGCTCTAAAAAGAAAGTTTTTGGGGAGACTCACGGCTGTCTTGAGTAACGTTAACTAGCTTGTGATATAAATCCATTGAACTGTCTTCTTTAAAGTGCCCTTTTAATATTGTTTTTAACTGTGATAATGTGAGGTCACTTTTTAACTTCGAGCATGTCCCGTAAACTCAAACCTGGGCTGATGGCTTTGACTACAGCTTCAACCACTTCATCTTCACTGTGCCCTTTAACTAACCCTCTTTCAATCTGGTGCATTAGATTTGTGAATGAGAGTTTATCTTTCTGTCCCCTTTCCCCAATCTGGCCACTTATTTTGAATTCTCTTCTTATTGTGACTTCTTGGAGCCTGTTTGTGGGCAAACTGGTGCTTGAATGGACAGAGGGCTCATTTTGTAGTGAAAGGTTGCTTGCCCTGTCACTCAATCTTTGGGTTTCGTTGACAGGTGCTTGACTTGTTATTGATAATCCAATTGTTCTTTCCTGCAGATTTTCTATTTCTGGGACATTCATTTGAACTGCACTTGTTTTGGTTAGATTTAGCAATGTGCTCAAATACTGTGATGCCACGTCGCTTTCTTCATTTTCAATAGCGCTGTCTATTGAATCCATGATGGCTTTAACCACTGCACGTCTGGTCGCCGCATTTCTGCAGTCAATTTTGGCACGCCCACACACCTCCTTGAGCTCATCTAGTTTTAGTGTCCAGAGCTGCTGTGACACTAGCTCTGCGGACTCCTCGAGACTCATCTTGCCGTGCGTCGCGGTGCCGCGCGTCCGTCGTCAATGCGCGTGACCGTCAGCGGGAGTTTACCGGTGCTACGCCGATGGAAGAACCGTCTCAAAAGTCTATATCCATCCCGGACGAGCCCCCAAAATATGTAGCACTTGTGGTCGGATAAAGAGGCTTCAGAGAGTGTGTATTTACTTCCATTTAATGCCGTATGCACTGAAACACAAGAGACACATTTATGATCACGCTATTCATGTCAAGGCACACTTTACAATTAGGTCACACCTTACAGGACGCATCTAACTTAAAAACGTTTGTTTATCAAAAGAAATATTCACTTAAAGTGACGTTTCTCACCTGAAACACAAGAGACACATTTATGATCACGCTATTCATGTCAAGGCACACTTTACAATTAGGACCCGCGAGGCCCCCCCCCCCGAGTTGCCTTCCCCTGCCTGCGTGTATCCCCAGCATATATCTCCTGTCTACAATCGTATCCATTTCTTGTGTCCATGAAATATAAAAAAAATACAATTTCCTTTGTACAAATTTGGTATAAAATAATTTAAAAAATAAAATGAGGTGGGTGGTGCTTTCTACTTCATTACCATTACAGTGCCTGCTTAATACTATTGGTCCCACATCTGCAATCAAAGCCTTCTCTATCCACACAGTAATGCAAAACCGACTGAAACGCTGGTCACATGACTAGGCTGGCATCACAATGTCACAACGTTATGACATCACGTGGGGGTAAAAACAAGGAAGTGGGGCACCGTGTCAGCCGATTTCGAGCCAAAGAAGATTGCAAGTGTGTGTTACAGGCCCTTTGATATTTGTTTAGAGTGCTCCCGTTCTTCTGTATTTGCTTTTGTGTGTGCGTGATGCGCTCGGTCCTCGAGCCCTGGACCCGGATGCGCGGGAGTACCAGATGCCAGACGGAGGCTGGCGTCGCAGATTGGCCGGTCACCCCTCCGCCCCCACCAATCCGCGAATGCCACCTGTGGTAGCGGGGGTTTAAAAAGGACAATCTTCCGCCTGCTCGAGGCGGCTGGATCACTTCGGCCAGCTCGCCCTTTTTGTTTGATTCTTTTGGTTGTCTCATTTTGTGTTTTGTTGCTGGCTGTTGCCTCTGTTAGTTCTTTGAGACACCTTTTTGTTCGCAGTACAACTTGAGTTAGATTTGTTACATTGTACTTAGTTTGGGCTCCTTAGTTTATTAGATTATTTTGTTTAATTCTCATTATTTTCTCCTCAAATGCCTGTTGTTTTTTTTTTTTGTTCTTTCCCTACACTGTATATAATAAATGCACTTTTTTTTGTTAAACCTTAAACATCCTGGTTTTATTGTTACTTCCCTTTCTCCCCTAGCAAAGGGGACGTAAGTGTGAAAACAGTCTTCTAGCTCTAGCATTGCTGTTTCTTATTTGTATAGGGTTTGTTTAAACTGTTTTCCGCAATAGTGTCACATGATCGATGTCACAAACCCAGCAAATCAGGAAGGCGTAAGTCACAGTGACGTGATCCAATAAGGACACAACTAGAGCTCTTACATCAGCGTATCAACGTTTTCAAGTGTCCACATAGTGCCGGAGTCATGGGAGCTCACGGGACCCGAGCCATTTTTTCAACAGATTAGTGTGAACGAACACTGCATCCACAACGAAAACGACTCAAATACTTACTAGTGTGGGGGAAAAAAATCCATTTTAAGTTGAAGTTGGGCAGTGAGACACTCCATCTAATAGACATACTTTAATTTCTGTGTCCATTGAACAATAGTAGGTGGAACTATGTTCCTTACCACTAGTAAAAGTAGATGTAACATGTACTGTTGGTCCTAGGTGAGTGAGTTTCTAGCATATAAGTCAAGCAAAAATGAAAGAGGGTCCATTGGGATATCTGATCTAATATTATCTTCAATCTTCTTGATACTTTCCCAAAATGTTCTTATTTTTGGACAGTCCCAAAAAATATGGCTATGGTCTCCCACCGTACCACACTCTCTCCAGCACTTGGTGGTGGTGGTAGTCTTAACCATAAATGTCTTTAACGAGGCTTCTGAAAAATCTGACTTTTGTTTTCCAATCCAACTGTCTCCAGTTTGGCTTCCAATCTCTTTGTGACAAAATAAGCACAAATGTTCCCATTGCTCATCCGCTAAAGTCACATTCATCTCAAGTTCCCAGTTTAAAACTGTTGGGCCAAGTGACTTTAAAACTGTAATGTGTTATTTATTACTTATTACCGTCATTTCAAAGTAATTTGTTACATTACAATATTACTGCATTTAAAATGTAAGGCATTACATTACTATTGCATTACTTTAAGTTACTCTCACCAAAATAACTGCGAAGATGCTGAACGTTTCGTCGACATTGTGGATTTTGTCAGGGAGAAAACTTACAAACATACAGCACTTCAGAATCACACTGCTAGAGATCCAACATTTATTTAAATTTGGCAGCTGAACACATTCTGTAGGCCACTGTACTGTACAAGAGACAGGAGTCCCTTAGCCAGTCAGGACGCAGCGGGAAGAACACAATACGTGTTCATACACTGTAAAAACAAAAAGAATGCAAAATTGTACAAAAAAAAATCCACGAAACAGAGAGACCACGAAAGGTGAAAGCGCGATAGAGCGAGGGACTGTAAACCAGGTCTAAACCAGAACTGACCCAGGTCTAAACCAGGTCTAAACAGGTCTAAACCAGGTCTAAACAGCGTAGAGTTCTCGGTCCTTTCGCCCAAGGTTAACTGACGTCTACACGGCCGCGTCTCCGCCGTTTCACTGCTGCTAATATCGCGGTGGTGATTTTAGCAAATTTCTATGAAGAAAAACCCACCACTTCAATCCAGGTTAAAAAAGCATTGTAACGCACGTTACTCACATTTGCACCGAGTAAAATATTACAATTTTTTCCCCTGTAATGCCGAACATTACTGCGTTACAGCAAAAAGCAACGCATTACAGAAATTCCTTACTTTTATAACGCGTTACTCCCAACACTGATGTTTAATATGACAAGCACCTTCTAACAAACCTCAGAACTACACAAGTGGTGGCGTCTATCCTCTTGATTTTAGAGGCCTTTGTCCAACTGGGTGTGAGGAACAAAAAACTAACCAAATCAATAGCTGTTATAAGGTTTTACAAGCGTTTTAATGACCGAGCATTACTGTCTGATTTGTATTATAGTGTTATTGGTTTTACTGCGAGCATTCCAGAACCAAATACAGCCTTGGACTTTTTAATGAAAAACATTTAATTACGTTACTGACAGACATGCCCCTTTTAAGAGCGTTAGGGCCAAGAATAAAAGTAATTAAAGACATTCATTCAAAGACACGTTCAGACTTCGATCAAAAAGTATCTTGTGCACTTCACAAATCTTGCCTCTCGACGACAGCTCTCGTCTGAACTTAAACACCAGAGAAACTTGCACTGTTGGATTTAAAGGGCATTTTTAAAAGGTATTTTCTTATCTGTGTCATAACGATCATCACAAATATATCTGGAGTTGTGTTTTGTTTCATTTGCACATCTTTAACACACAAATCCTACATATTTAGGCTGTGTTCATGTCTCAAACAGAAAATACACTCTTCAACCATGTGACAGTATGTGATAATACAGGAAGTGCTCTATACACCTTCACTTGAATCATGTGGATGATTTCAGCCCTGGAACTGGGACCTGTGTGAAGCTGACAAACGTAAACCTACACAAAAACTATGTCTATCTTTTCGGCTTCTTTTGTGCTGTTTTGTGCTGCAAAAAGTTTTATTTGTGCCGCTTTAAGTTTTGGAGACATTAATGATTCTTTTATAGGTCAAATTAGGGTCAACCAGCCCCCAGGAAACTTCAAAATGCTCTAAAACGTCCCAAAATAGTGTCAATTGTTTATGTTCCATTTGTGCTGTTTTGTGTTGCAGAAAGTTCAGTTTGTGCGATTACAAGTTCTTAAAATATTAGCAGTTTTATTTTGGGCTGATGAAGTCATCCAGCCCAACAAAATGTTAAATAGCCTCAAAACAGGCAGAAAATTATTTGAAATGTTTGTATTTCTGTTTGGTGCTGTGACCATTTTCATTTGTGCGAGTATATTTCTAAAATTATTAATCATGACATATGTGACGTCATTTCCGCTCAGTTGACGTCAGCGGCTTTAGCAAAACTAGTGAAGATGAACGATCTGAGGCGGCGGAAAAAGCAAAAAAACGTTTCGTATAATTTTCTGTTTGTTTTGAGGGTATTTAACATTTTGAGAGGCTGGAAGACATCATCTGCTAATATTTATATTTTCGGCTAATATCTTAAGATTATCTTGGCCTGATTCATCAGCCATTTTAACTTTGTAGTAACCGTTTGACCTCGCAGCATTAGATTTTGTTCGCTCAACGGTAGGCGGGTACTTTTTTCATTTAACCAATCGCTGCTATTTGGTCGCGACGTATTTAATGTGCTGCTAACAAGTCTAACTGGTAAATTCACCTTTTCCCAAATCCCGTAGGAAGAAGAAAAAGAAAGAAAAATTCTCTTTGTTCCGGCTTTAAATCCTTGATCTCGGGAATCGTTGCCAACACAGAATGTTTGGTTCTTCGCTCATTGGCTGGTGCCCAAACTCGCACTTCTGGGGTTTTTGCAAACCATCTACTGTATTCTGATTCCTGACCTAGTCACTGGAGAGAAATGAAATTGAGTGAAGGCACAAGGCGGCACCAGCCTGGCAAAAAGAACCATAATTGCACAAATGAAACTTTTTGCAGCACAAACGGAGCATAAATGATTGACACTGATTTGGAAGGAGCATTTTGAAGCTTCCTGGAGGCTGGTTGACCCTAATTTGACCTATAAATGAATCGTTAATATCTCTAAAACTAAAACAGCACAAACAAAACTTTTACAGCACAAATGAAGCCAAAAGGATATATCTAGTTTTTGTATAGATTTGCTTTTTGCTTTTGATGGGGGGGTCAACTTCACGCAGGTCCCAATTCCAGGGCTGAAATCATCTGCATGATTCTAGTGAAGGTGTCTGGAGCACTTCCTGTATTATTACATACTATCGCGAGGTGGAAGAGTGTATTTTCTGTTTGAGACATGAACACAGCCTAATTATACAGGATTTGTGTGTTAAAAAAATGAAACAAAACACAACTCCAGATAAATTTTGTGTTGGGGAGTAACTGAGTACATGTTCTGGAGTTACGTAATCAGAGTACAAATTATAACTGTATTCAGTTACAGTTACTGTTTCAGTGAGTGGTAATTGGATTACAGTTACTTTGTTGAAATACATGGATTACACAGCGGTATTTTCCAGTTTTTACATTTTGGGCTATATCCCCCTTTTTTTTTCTGTAAATCCACTCATTGCTGGAAACAGGTCTAAACCAGGTCTAAACAGGTCAAAACCAGGTCTAAAACCAGGTCTAAAACCAGGTCTAAAACCAGGTCTAAACTAGGTCAGGTCTAAAACCAGGTCTAAAACTAGGTCTAAAACCAGGTCTAAACTAGGTCTAAACCAGGTCTAAAAACCAG